CCCCCCCCATGAACATAATCAAAGATCCATCACACACCAAACTTCCAGTAATCATTTACAAGATTTATAGATGTGAAAAATTCAGGTTTTTTTCTTTCTTGTAGAATGTACTAAGATAAATGTCCAGACCAGTAAAACTATGAAATTACATATTAGAACAAATAGTATTTCTGCAGGGGACTATTTTCCTCCAGAATCCAAATCCATCTGATTTGTTACTTACCTTTTCATAACGTTGTGTTTCTAGACCTCTCAATTTTTCAGATTTGCCAAAACTATGAGTTAGTTTTCCTGATTTAAATGATATCTTATTGTGGGTCAGCTTTTCCACTGGATTTTGATGTCATTTCTATTAGGATGAACAGTGGGTCTCATTTTTTCAGCATAGTTAGAACATTCCAGTGACCGATTTCCAGATTCATTCAAACCTTGAGTGTTTAAACTTTACTTATGTTTATTCACATTCAGTTTTCCTCCTAGCGTCATTTCAGCCTAGCGTCATTCTCCTTTGTTGAAATTTTGAGTCATGATTTTGCTCTATTGTAATATTACCTCGTCTTGTTAGCATTGTACCACTTGCATATCTTTAAGTTCCTTATAATCTAAGTTGTTGATTTAAAAAATGGAATAGAATATGATTATTGCTAAGGGTTCTGGGTATTGATTTTTAGTCTGTGTCTTGTTTGTATACCTAAGATTATATAGTCTTAACTACAAAGATAAAGAAATCTTAATGCTCCACTGAAATAAGCTACCTTATATCAGTGATATTTGTAATTTACTGACTTACTCTAAGCTTTGCTTTATTATTATTTTTTTAACCTCTTTGGACTTGAAGACCTCATGCTATTTCTTTGACTTTATTTGTTGTTACTGCAAGTGTGCGCGTTCATATGGCAGCCATGGGATTGATGGTACTAATTATTAATGTATCAACACAAGGTGAATGTACCAGCATTTTAACGTCTTTATTTTTTTAGTGTAATCATGGGATTCTGATTTAATCTTTTTTTGGGAGGGAGATAACAGTAAAATGATAAATATAACACTCAGAGAAAGATGTTAGATCCCTGTTTTGATACTTTTGGCAGAGCAACTATTTTTGTAGTCAAATGAATGTTGTGAAAAAAAAAAGTCTAATTCATGTTCAGTAGAGAATTAGCCTTTCTAATTAATATTATTTACCATTATTGTATATTCTTTGTTTCTACTACCCTGAATTTCATTTTTTCGTTTTTCATGTATTTGCAAGTCGAAAATTGATTCAAATTAGGACTTTTATGCATTATTGTGGAATTTAATTTCACACATTATAGATTTTGAAATTTATTGTAATCTTGGCTCAGAACTATTGTTCCGAGTCGCAGTGTAATACACTCTGCTGGTTGAATCTAATTAAGGTGTCGTATCACTTGCATGGAGTATGTATCTTTGCTTAGAATGCTCTAAAATTCCCCACTTGGGAATAACACTTCCCCCTGTGCCTCCTGG